GTTGATTGTGTAATTACCGGAGAGTTCTTCGTCTTTTTGTAAGTGTTATTGAAGCGTTTGGCCTAGTAGATTGTATATCATATACCCTTCCAGGCTCTGAAGAAGGCGATACTGCCGAAACGTCAGCTAGCGTTGTATTGTATTGTGTTTTTATGGAAGTAAATGTATGCTGTTTAAAAACCTCGCGATTGCTGAGCAAGAAAACGACACATTCATATTCCAATGCCGAGGTTAAGAGAAANGCGGAGATGAATATATTGGCGAAACGGGCAGACCTTTGTGTATCCGTATAAAAGAACACCTAGATGGCAAACGAAAACTAAGACGAAGCACCCCACTAGGCACGCATAGGATACAAAAGCATAGCGGAGACGATTTTGAAGTGAAAGTCAATATCCTTGCACAGGAGTCCAAAACACCAGCGCGAAAACTCCTTGAGGCTTTTTGGATCAATGCCAAAAGCCCTACAATGAATAGCAGGGACGAATGCCCGGAGATCATACGCGACCTGATCTCGTACGTTCGCATCGATTTTTGATGTGGGATGGTGCAGTCGTCAACCACATGCGACTATAATCAGCTGTTCTAAACTTCCTCATTGGAAGTCACGAAAAAAGCGGTGGGTTTTTCGAGAAGTTGTTGATTGTGTAATTACCGGAGAGTTCTTCGTCTTTTTGTAAGTGTTATTGAAGCGTTTGGCCTAGTAGATTGTATATCATATACCCTTCCAGGCTCTGAAGAAGGCGATACTGCCGAAACGTCAGCTAGCGTTGTATTGTATTGTGTTTTTATGGAAGTAAATGTATGCTGTTTAAAAACCTCGCGATTGCTGAGCAAGAAAACGACACATTCATATTCCAATGCCGAGGTTAAGAGAAAGTCGATCTTGGGAACTATAGCCACAATGTTGCTGAGATATACGAAGGACCCGTATGGTGTGGTGGTGAATGCGTTAGCCCCCGAAAAGGGTAATAGCGCGTTCGGTCCCCACCACAGACACCACCGGCCCGGAGTTTTGCAAATATCTCGGCAGCATTATGATATCGATACAATTTTTTCTTTTTCTGCGACTTTTCGCTATGTCAGCACTGAGTTGTAAATTCTGCAGCCATTCATGAATACAATTTTACTAGATGATGATAAATCACTCTCCTGAAAAGTTCTAAGCGAGGAGACGGACTACATCACTTCTTTTTGTCTTTCCTTTAATGTTTAGAGAACTAATCGTTCGTTTACAGTGATATCGCAGCAAGAAATTGCCTATTAGGAGAAGATGACGTTTTGAAGATTTCCGATTTCGGTTTGTCATTCATCGGAAAAACGCTCAGAGAAAAGCAACTAAAGAAAGTCCCTTTAAGGTAGTTCCTAACCTTCCGCTTTAATCGATTAACGATAATTTTGTCAGAGTTGAACAGTGTGGTCACGTGCTACCAAACTGGCCCTTCGATTTAAGTCTGCAGTTCGATCTATATGCGACTGAGTTCTATAAAGAAACGTCGGTGTTTATCAACTTTAGAACCACTACCGGTTCATAACTTCGCCAACCTTAGGTTTTAACGAAGAATGAGTCCATTTTACGAATCAGCGCAAAAAAAGTAAATAATCGTCAAAATTCTCTTTTAGAAAACTAATTACTTGTTGGAATATAAAAGGGATACAAGTGAAAGTAAACTGTGCATTTCTCGGACTAGGTAGTAAGACTGAGGAGTTGCTACGTCATGGCATTACTGATTTTAATCTTATTTTCAACAATTTTTAATTTGGGTCATGGGAACTGTGACTGTTTGAGACGCCGTGCAGTACGTGCATTTTGTCATTGGTTCGATTCCCCACTGAGCCAACTAAGGCTCGCATACTTGCCGCATCAGGAAATTGATAGCAGACTTGTTTAGCAAAAAGCTCTCTCCACTCCACAAAAGTATGCAACGGCCGTGACGAACTGAAGACATGCGACCGCACTCTGTCTCAGGAATGAATTAGACCGCAAGGCAACAACATTCATAGAGAAGACAAAGTTCTCAGCTGATAACGGGACCCATACAGAATCCCGATAACTTTCATGCATAATGTGTATAAAGTTCACAGAATGCTTATTTCAAGCGGTTTTATACGTATGTTCGGACCAGCATTCCACGCTTCTTATGGATTTTATACTTAAGCGCTTAGAAGATCGGTGCCATTTGTGCTTCACCATGTTGCGGATTGAACCTGTTCGTCTCCTCGGTTCCCGTAACACACTAGGCCAAGGTGTGTCCAAGCATTCACCACAAGCCGTCTCCGTTCTTTTCAGCCTGAGTTTTGCAACTTACTTAATAAATCCGACTAAGTGGATAACAGACAATCCTAAACATTGGCAGATCCTCATGTAGTCCATAGAAGAACGACATTTCTAATGCCGGAGAGAACAACGAAGCTGATCCCTATCTGAAATATTCATAAGCGCTATGAACAGCAGCAGTGATTCCTATACTCTGGAAAATTGCAGATGGCTGTCACCAGAAACACTGAAGAACGGCGTTTACAGCACGAAAACCGATGTTTATAGTTTCTCGATTATGGTATGGGAAATATTCTCGTTTGGACAACTGCCGTTCTACAAGTACAACAACAAGGTATTAAGGACGATGATCATTGAAAAGAAGGTGAATTTTCGGATGTCTTGAAATCAGTCAAAATTCAATGTTTGCTCAAATATCTTCCTTGTTAACCAATTTTTTGAATAAGCAATATTCGAGTAATAAGCATTGAAGTTCTCATTTGCAACGAACACTTTTGAGTGACTGCCTCTTCTCGCTTTCTTCTGAGCGTAATCATACCATGCCAGTGCCACGCCAGATCGGATCTACTGGTCGGATCAGGTCCATATCGTCTATAAATCCTTACCGCGAACTTCACCACTAAGATAACTGTGAGCAGATCTCATTAGTTTCTGACAACAGCTGTTTGATAAACAGAACTGCGGCACAGCAGTCTACATTACTCAGATCAAGATTTCACACAGTGGTTTCGAACCTGCTGTTGTCGGAACCCAATCTTGAGTGGCGCCGCCTAGTACGACGTCTAATTCCACGCCGTTGCGAAATTCCTGATTTTTCGAAGATAGGCAATAATTTCCCGATAATTGGAGGACTTGGGTGGTTGACATCATTCTACAACTAAGACTGAGAAGACTGCTTTAACGCTCTACTGGTATGTGTAGTATACATACTTCCGTTTACTACATGTAACTGTGGTCCACCATCCAATCACGTTACTCTCAGCACTTGTGCCCTGCAGTTTAAGCCATGGTAACCATGATTCATCATAACAATTAGTATTAAAGCAACTTTCAGATGTCAGCGAAGTACCGGTCAATGAACCCGTCCGAAAAAAAAAGTTGCATATTTCTAAGTGCAGAGTCGGGCTTCTCCCAAACGAACCACACCATAACATCCGTGCTACATACGTTATCGGGTGATTATAAAGGTGTGGTAAAAATGCTCTATAAGGCAAAAGAAACGACCAAGGAAATAATACCTCACTTCTACCTGTCTACCCCATAGCTGTGAATCATTTTTGACTCACTCCGTCAACACTGTTAACCAATATCTTGAAAATACCCTAAACATACACTTTAATTTTCGAAAGTCTCTCTTTGTATCGGTACGCTCACAACTCATTCTTCAGGCTGTATTGCCAAAGTGCTTGTCAGAGATCCCGCCAGATATGAACGCTTTGCGGTTGAGATGCATGGATCCGGATCCAGACAAACGACCAGATTTCTTCGAAATAGAGGATATTATCTCCAAGGTTTGTACGCCGATTGCCATATGTTTTCGCTAAATTGGGTCCTTACAGTAGTATCGGAACGTCCACTCACCTGGTAGCACATCCATATCTCATGTCCTATCGCTTCCACTATAGTGAGAATTTCCATTCAGTGAGAAAAATTTCAGATGGATACCGTAGTGAAACCACAACCGCCATCATTTCTCAGTAAAATGGTTACAGGCATAAGTGATTATATTTATGGTCGAATCTTCTCATAGAAATTCATCGATCTTTTCCTGTACAGGAGAGGACCGTCGCAATTATTCTGCTTATGAGATCAGTCGCAACGAAATCTCCAAGAAAACATCTTCTACGACATAAATTTCACGTACTCGTTTCGCAATGTGTCCGTATGAACAAATTGTTATAAATATATTAATACTATGGCTTCTTAAAAGCATAATATTCTATACGACAAATACGAAGATGACAGTTAAAGACAGTCAGACAAGCCACCGATTAACAGACTTGAGAGGCAAATCAGGCAAAATAGTCAAAATGAAAGGTGATGAAAGGTTACGTACCCTGTTTAGAACAAATTTACATTGGAGTACAAATGACTGTAAAACCTAAGAAAACATGAGCAAAAGAAAACAATAACGAGAAAACAGCGTAAGTCAGATCAATGAAAGGATGAGTGGAGATAGAACACGTAGTATTTCAAAGGTGTTTCACGTCGATAATGATTAGTTTCGATCGAATCCACATATCACATAAAAACAAAGTACCCGTTTGTGAAAGCACCCCAGCACGTACAAAACAAGAAATTTTTAGAAAACAGAGGATGGTGTGACAAGCAAAGTTCGGAGAATAAATCAAATCACCGCCGATGGCACTATTCCGTACATATCCGAATAGATTTGGGACGTATCGTCCCCATTTCCAGGTATACTTGACAGTCGAGCCGGCAAGGCGCTACGCAGCAATTGCCAGAACAAGTGATCCCTTTGCCGTATACACGTGTTCTTCCGTAAAATTTGTCCTAATTCATCATCAAGCAGATTCTGATCGACACCATCACCCAGAACAGCGATAACCCGTTTCCCACGGTTTTTTGCAAACAACTGATGTGAAGTCTGAAATTGAGCAACATTTTTTATAGAACGGCAAAGCTGTGGTTAAATATGGGATAAATGTTAATTCTTAAGCAAGTGGTTTTTTGCTTACTTTCGCTGATTTTAATCGTAAGCACCGTCCATTCAGCCATTCAGCTATGAGTGTCCTCTATAGAGTCTACATGAAGAATATTCTAACGCACACCTCGAAGAACTTGGATTAAGTCCAACTTTGCAAGATTTCGTTGTCTACCACATCCAGAAGCTCTCCACAGTCATAAAAGTTTGCGCAAAATATCACCTAGCCCATGTTTTAAGGTTCATTAACTTCAAGCAAGTATTTTACAGTGTGGAGCTCAATCAGCCCTAGTTGACCAAGGTTTAGACACATCCTACATACAGACGCTCATTGGTTGTAGTGGTGTAGTGGTGATTTTACAACAACGATATTCACTTAGGACTGACTATTCTAACTAGTAAAGGAATTTATAGTATCGGAAAAGCCGGTCACCGCTGGTTGTGTGTTCAGTTACTAGAGGAGAAGTGGATACGAGTCCAGAACAGGTTATTCAGAATGGACCACCGAGTGAGGAAACAACAATCTATGCAAACCTGAGGCGTTAAATGATTATGAATCGCGAAATCAGAGTATTCAGTTTAAAACAGTGAGAAGAGTGTACCGCATTTGAGTATCCTACAGAAGGCAACTACTCACCAAATTGCTCATATAGACCTGCGCGCTCTCTAGTTTGATGCATTAATGCTTTTTCCAGCCCTATGTAGAGGAGCAGAAAATTCGTATTTCACCTATACTAAAAAATGTGTGCAATACACAAGAAATTCAAGAGATGTCTTTTGAAGATGAATTGGCATATGCAGTACCGAGCTCGTTCTGGTAGTTGTAAACTTCGAAGGACATCCTACCTTTTAGACCCAGCAGAATACGTTTCAAGAAACAAACACCACACGTAGTAATAAGACAAGTGAGCAAAAAAACAAAGCGGTTTTGTAGAGAATGGAAACGACACTGAAGCTCACTAGAAAAAAAATGGGCCGACATGTTCTCTACAAACGTAAACCACCTATACTAACGGCCGCAATCAACTTTCATGACTTCAAACAACAGCCGAAGCCACAAATGAGCATGATCAACTCCACAGATGACAGTTGTAAGAAAACGAAACAAATGGAAAAGGAGCTGCGACACGCACGACACGTTAAAGAGTCATCAAATTAACTAAACAAGTAGGTATGCCAATACATATTACGATGGTAATATTGCGCATGATCTTAGAGCTCGTATGGCAGGTTACAATGTTTCACACCTCTGTTAAGACTGAAACCACCCAAACAACATTGAACAACCAGAAAATCTGTTTACCTTCACTTGCAAAGTTTTCCACTCGCTCTCTAGGAAATTCTTCGTAAGTATAATAACGAGACATTGTGATGCTTCCATCTGTGAAATCAATTCGTCCGAAATGGCATGCAGACGCGAGTGATAAGCAGGACCATCGCGATGAAGTAAGCACAGTGCGTATTCCTCATCTTCCAAAGGTCTAAAGAATTCTTCTGATTTTTCCTGCTTAAGTAAAGGTAAGAGTGAAAAAGATACCGGCAAAGTTGTTCCAAAACCATTTTTTCGTCTTTTTTTGAGTAACTAACAAAGGCATCAAAATTCAATAACGGGACAGGCAGTGGAGAAGACCCTGGCGTTGATGAACAATTCAGGGAAGACGAGGCTTTGTATCTAAAAATAAACACTGTTACAAAAACTCTGGTAAAAAAGAGAAAATGCAGAGAAGGTTTACAAATTGTCGGACATTGGAACAGAGACCAAAGCAGTCTATACAGGAACAGACTCAATTGATGACATGGTTCACTACAAAACCAAAGCTAATCTAAGCTCACCTTTTTTGGCTCATATCGTTGTGAGCTTTCCTCACTAAAGTGACTCCCAAAAATATCATAGCACAAAGTAGAAATGCACACGAAGTGAGGAAGACAACTGCGAGGATGGAATTTTGCGGTTCTTGCCCGAAAAAGCCCGAGGAAAGCGGTGCACAGATAGTGCGATTGAAGTCGCGAAGAAATTCTGTAAAATTAATAACTGATAAAGAAAAGGGAATAACGTCTAATAACGAGAAAATTACCGTTCATAGACATGGTGAAAATATCGTGTCCAACATTTGGTGGGTAAGCGGATAAAACCGTGGTGTCGTTGTTACGAAAAGCTTCGGTTACGTTCTCCACGCAATGTACCCTATCCATATCAACGATTTTGTCACGATTCCGATGCATCCACATCGGAGCAGAAAATCGTGAACTACAATCACAGCGGAATGCGTTTCCCGACAACGATAAAGAACGCACGTCAGATGAGGCTAGTCCCGGCGATATATCGGTTAGCTTGTTATTGTGCAGGGTCACCTGGAAAACGAAGTAACTAAAAGAGAGGAGATCTCGCAGTAGACATGAAATGGATATTATCTTGAGGTAAGTAAGCCAGCAGGCAGCTAAGTAAATACCAGCATTCTTCACCACGTTGGAACTCCTTAGATCCTTGCAAAGCTTTGGACTGACAGTAATGACTTCAAACTCACCGTCTTTAGAGCGGAAAGCTTATCCGTAAGCCCTCTTTCCACAGTCTGTAGGTGGTTTCCGTTAAGGAAAAGATGAGAAATAGATGCGGTTTTATGGAATTCATCTCCAGAGAGACGGACCAAGTCGTTTTCCGATAAATCGAGCAGCTGGAATGTTGTCCACTATAAATGAACTCTAACGGAAGAATCAGTTGCAAATAAATTATAAAAAGTAGGAATTACCAAGTTTAACGAGAAACTAACTTTAAGTTTAGGCAGAGTATTAAATGCTTTTGCTTGTATTCCACGGATTCCAGAAGCATTGATATGGAGATATTCAAGACGTGGCCTACCAAGAAAGGAGTGACTCTTCAAAATGGGCAGAGAAATTCCCGAAATATAAACGTGGGTTGCAGATATTGGAACTGCAGACGGAGTAAAATCCTGCAAAACTTTCTTACTTAGACTTCATTCTCACTATGCATGCAAACGATAAAACTATTTTAGGATACACAAAAATTCGAAAATTATAAAAATGACATGGTTGTTTTAAACAAACCTGCATCTCTCCTTCTGTTAGATTTTCACAACGAACAATGTTGGTCTCGAATGAAGCATCACGAAAACAAGCACATCCAGTCGGGCACACCGCTTTACAATCGCAGTTTCCAAATTGACAGCAGACACAGTCAGGCTCACATACCTAACGAATTAAAAGCTTTAGATAGCATGAAACAACACTAAAGATGGGTCTGAACGCTGAACCCACTTGTGAATAATCGCAAAGAAGATCTTTCGAGTCCACTTTATCTAACGGAATTACTTTGCCGATGAAAGTATGAGTGCAGAAAGTTTCAGACATGCTAATTACATTTACTTTTCTTCTGACCTGCAATCAACAGTATTGGAAGAAAACTGGCAACAAGTGAATAAATTCTGAGAAAAATATCGGAGGTAAGCCCCAAAATCTAGCGATAAACAACAATGTGTATATAGATCGTTAGAAAACATGCAAAACCTAAGACCTCCCAACGGTTTACTGTCCCATCGTGGTTGGTAGGTGTTCTCTGTTGTAAGGCTGCGATGTACAGTGGGAGGATTCATCCCCCCAGCAGAGTCTGCAAAGCTGAGAAGGAGTCCGGCGTTTCAATCAGGAAGCCCAGCTAAGAGTAAACCAATACCACGATCCACCACCGTCCTGGTATGAGACTAGTCGAATGGTGGCAAATCCCTCTCTGACCCGCAAGGGGGGCGACTGCATGTGGTGGTGAACATCTGGGGCAGACTTTGCCCCGGCTATCCTTGGGACTCCAGGAAACCAGAATAGCTAAGCGAGCAAACTCTGAAAAGAGGAAATTTTGCTGGAGCCCACACAACTAGTGAGAACGAGCCATTCAAGTATCCAAGTAAACCCCGAGAACATCATTACAGAACAAGTGTCTTATGTATTAAAGAGGCCACTCTAATACTCAACGCAAAATAAGGCAAACAAGAGGCAAACAAAATCAGTTAAGACAAATCCTACTAGTACGTGACACAAACTAACAGTTTCTGGCTTCTTTATCCAATGAAGCTCGCAACTACACTGCAGTGAATTGCCTCTCAGATCGACGTCAATACTGTTCACACCACCAGTAATCAAGGACTCTTCAGATAGCTGAGATAGTTGGTTATCACTCAGGTCTAGCGATCGCATCGCTGTCTTCATGGAAAACGTTGCCACTGCGATATGTTGCAAACGATTTTCCGACAAATTCAACAACTCCAGAGTGTCCGGAAGCTGATCGGCTGCGATTTGCTCGATGCGATTTCCTCTAAATGACGCAGTCCGCACCCTAAACCACCAATGGTTCCGCTTGTTTTCAGTTTTCGACTAATACAAATGATAAGCATCTATCACTATAGTAATAAGTTCTTTCGAAGCTTAACAACTGGAAAGACAATGAAGGATTCCCAGCATTTAACATAAGACATCCAAAAGAGTTGAAAACAACTGACTTTGATGTTCTTGCAGCTCCCAAAAGAGATATCATATTTAAGTCTGCAACCAGATATTCCAAACGAGGCGGGAGTTCAGTCCATTGCAAAAATTCAAGGCGATTCCGAGAAATGTCCAGTCGTCGGACGGCTGAAGCTTGGGACAACGCGTCAGCTAAGCTTTCTGAAACAGCCTTGTTCCATATTGACTGATAAAATACAAGCTATATTAATAAAAAAAAAAGACACGAAACAAAACGAATTACCCAGATGGTTATCGGAGAGGTCGATTTTTTTGAGGAGCGGACATTTGGTTAAAGAGTCATGGAACAACTGCGAGATATGATTGTGCGACAGATTAAGATAGGTCAAGTGTGCACAATCGGAGAACACGTACGGACTAACCTGCAACGGATAATTGTTATAACATGAAATTCTAATCTGTGCCAAGGCGTCCAAACAAATTTTGCTCCAACAGGACAAAACCTCTGCAGCAACCTAACGAAAAAGCATATCCTCGCCAGCGAACCTACCGATGACAACTCATTGTGGCTGAGATCAATACTGTGAAGGTGTGGAATTTTGTTAAAGATGAACTGATGCAGTTTCCTATAATTGCTATTTGAGCAATGTTAACCTTTTATTTACTGCCTAATATAATTTTCATGGCAGATTATGATGCGAGACACAACCAAAACGATGCTGAGATATCCGCAAAACTTGGACTCTGGGCCCGATCGAACCACAATTACCTTTTCCAGAAGCTCGCCTATTATACACTGCACCACGGAGACCCTTGTTTTACGTTTCTCTCAGCTAGTTTTTTACCTAACGTTGACACTAGCAATCAACTTCTATTTGAGCAGATCGTTTATTAGAGACTTGGTATCCCTCTTTATTCCCCGCATTCGAAAATACTGATTCCCATGGGTGTATAATATGGGAATTTATTGACAGCTTGCAAAAGCGGTTCTTACGCAAACAAGCCATTCCATCGACAAACCAGTATGAAAAAATTTACATATACAAATCTTATAAGAAACAAGAATCTTCACCTAATCTTATTGTAACTGAGATTGATCTTTCTTAGCTTGAAGAGCCGTCCCATAGTAATAGGAACTTCGGTGAGCAAATTATATGATAAATCAACATCGCCTAAAAGAAACTGGTGATCCTGGTAGAATATACATAGAGAAAAACGATAAAACAAGGAAAAAAAAAACTAGTTCTCTGCATATTTTAACGATTTCCAAATGATCAGGATAAAAGTTCTCATTCCATACCTAGGGAAAGTTCTGCAAAAACTGCTGATTCCACTGTTTGGATTGAATTATTAGACAAAAGAAGAGCATTTAGCTCGTAAACTCCAGCGAACACATCATCTCGCAATTGTCCCAGCCTATTCGACGCCACGTTCAACTGAAAACAAGGTCCGCATTATGTTAAAACACCTGTTCGTCTTCGATTCAACAAGCGAGAACGCTAAACTCTCGAAAGGATCGGCTTTCACGCGATATGATGCGGTCGAATAGAGTTATGCATCGTCGTGTTAAAAGGTTCGACACTACCAGAAAATGTAAACGCTATTGAGGAAGATTTCGAAACCGACTTTCATTCAGCCTCCGTATGACTAATCAACATGTATTCTTTCTTTGATAAGCTCACAGTAGGTTGATATATAAACTTTATTCGGTTAACGTTTCGACGTCTTCGTCTTTATCAGAGCCGATGATCCGAGTGTGGTCCACAGTAGACCATCGACTCAGATCTTTCGCTCTGGTGAAGAAGAAGACATCAAAACGTTAGCCGAATAAAGATTATATATCAATCACGTGCAAGCTTATCAAAGAAAGCTGAGGAAGGTTTTCACTTAACAACGACATCCTCGAACACCTACGCTTCGCGCTAGTACTTGTTCTTGACCTTGTTATCATTCATTACTGGATGATCTCAGATGACCCATACAACGCTGCTGAACGAGTAATTTCCCTTCTACACTCCTCTCAATAACATATTTCGCCCTAATTACAGGTTTTCGCAATGGGAGGCTGGCAACTTGACCTGATCGCACATACAGTGTCCATTTCTATTATACTCACGCGATGAGCCGGGAGCGAAACAATACCAAAATACACAAACCGTCAAGAAGGTCACACATCTTCCCTCCCCAAACGCAAAGAAAAATGACAAACAAACGAACTTGCATGACTACGAATAGCTAAGGGACGCAAGTAAGGAACTACTCCTTGGACAAACTGAGTTACACTAAACTCAAATAATCATTTTCCAGTTGCCACTTTAGAAATCATAAAAAGGCAGTGCTGGAAACTATGTACTTAAACGCTGCTCCACTTTCATTCACGCCAAACAAAATTGTTGACAGAGTGGGACTGAAGGCCAAATCGCACTCGAACCTACGCAATAGGCACAATTGACGGCGCGCCTCCAAGCAAACGGGTCGTAAAAACTCGCCGAGTAGGACTTGAGTACAACAAAATGGTGAATGTTTTAAAAAAGTTGTTCATTATGTTCATGGTCATCTAAGTATTAAATTCTGTCTGCTTAGGCTACGAAAAAGCTTGATGGAGTGGATTGAGTGTCAATTTAACCCTCCTAGGCTCTGAACAAGACGAAACCGCTGAAACGTCAACCAACATTGCATTGAGTAAACCTTGCTGTTAACAACGACTCATCTGATTATCAAGGAAGCAGTGTATTGTTCATCAAGTATTCTAATATAACAAATAACAATAAGTATAAAAAAGGAAAAAAAAACATGGACTGACTGTCTGGAGCCGTGTGTACATCAAGTATTCTAATATAACAAATAACAATAAGTATAAAAAAGGAAAAAAAAACATGGACTGACTGTCTGGAGCCGTGTGTAATTCATCAACTCAAACGGCTCCAAATCTGCAATGACGTTTGACTCTAAGTGAAGATGTACCAGTGTCGATGTGGAATGCGGAAAAAGTCGCGTAGGCAATACTTTTATGCGATTCCATGACAGGTCCAGAAATTCCAGCACATCAGAAACTGAAACATGAACATGAAAAGAAAGAAGTATGAAGTTGGAAGAAAACTAACCGCATACTGTCCGAGAACTCTCATCAATAAAATTGTGCGACAAATTCAGCGAGACAAGGTGAGGAAGAACAGCGACAGAACCAGGAATAACTGTGAGCTGATTTGCCGCAAGATTAATATGAATTAGCGTATCTGAAATGAATAAAAAATAGATATACACTAATGACAATTTGAATCAAATGTGATCATAAGCGTGATGTTAATCAGCACCAGCAATTTCTTCGCTACACATACACTTTGTATATGTTTTTGCTAACAATAAGAAGCTTCTCTTAGATCTAAGCGTCACATGATTAGACAAAATGAAGAATTTGCAATGATGGCAAAATAATAAAGTTGGACTGAATGTTGTTACCTACCAGGTAAATCCTCGATCACTTCAAGTGCGTTGTTGTTTAGTTCGAGCTGTTGCAGCAGTGGACATTTGAACAACGATTGCTTCGGTATTGAAGACAAACGATTGTACGAGAGAGAGAGTTGTCGAATAGATGGCAGCGCATGAAGACCTTCGCCAAGAGTTTCTAGTCGATTGTAAGAAAAGTCTGCTATTATTAGCTGATTGGCCATACATTCAGAAGCAGCGAATGGTAGTGTAGAGATCCAATTAGATGATACGTTCAGAACCTAAATTGTAATTGGACCACCAAATCAATACCATCACTTCAGTATTGTCACATATACAGATAGATACCAGCTAGCTTATTAGCCACCGAGGTTGTCGGCATTATGAAAGCGAAGTAATGCGGATAATTGGCGACGTAGTGGCGCATCATGTTCGCATCAGCAGTCAGCACCGTCGTGTTTACCTGCAGCTCTTCCGTTATCTTCCGCTAGAGGCTCAATCACTACGTCCGATCCTTCATGTCACACGATGCGAGCTAATACTAATCTCCACCTGTCCCATTATCAGCGACCGTCTAAACGTCCTCGTCGTCTCCTACCCACCACAGATACGAAACAAAGCATCGATCCTCGAATTCGCCACAGTTCCAAAAGAATTTGAAAGAATTTGTCGTCAAGTTCTCGTCGTACCAATGGAATCATTAGAGGGTCAGACTATTTATTCGGGACTTGTAAATATTAACTACTAGCATGACCATATTGGACGAAACTTGAAACTATGTCCGTAGTGAGAAGGAACTATTGAGAAATAGTGCAAGTGAGATAGATGAGGGAAAGCTATACTATAAATTAATGTAAAGCAGTGGACACCTATAAGTGAACACTGTCTGTAGTAAGAATCTCCTTAGCTAAACTAATACTAAAGCATCAGGCTTACATGGAATTGTATAGTACATCATATCTCCCTTGAGGAAATAAACGAAGTGACCGTTGAACCACCTGCCACCCAACCCAGAAATCTCGGACGTTTCACGATTCATCACTGGCATGAGGCCAGATGGCGGCCCGAGGCATATTGTATAAGCACAAAATGAAGTGATCTATGCGCCTAATAAACAGCATAATTGCGCATTGATCGGGCACCGCTCAAGCAGTGATGGATATAGAACGGACCCTCTCAGCAGCAACAAGTCATAAATCACTACAGCTTGTAGTTCGTTTGAGTGAAGGACTTATAAAAACATGTTCATAAGGAAATCACTAACCTGTAGATTCTTTAAGTTACACAATAACTTGTCAGGTAAGTGAAGAAGATTAGAATTGGTTACAACTAATTTTTCGAGTCGTTTCAAGTGCTGAATAGCCTCGTTCGACAACAAAAACGACTGCCCCTCAAGAGCCATCTAAAGATAGAGACTTAACCCAAATGAGTATGCTTATCTTGTAACGTTGGAATATATCGAAACCTCATGAAGATGGAGGGATCGTAAGTTACTCAGCGAAGATAGCAAGTCAAGCGGAAGTTCGCTTGATCGGCAAACCTAAAAAGTACTATATTAGAAGGCACTGGTGACATAAGTACTCACTGATCCACAATCTGTCATGATTTCTAGGTATCGTTCCGCATAATTGTGAGGATATAACGAGAAGATCAAGGCGCTAATAATGCACTTAAGGAGCTTGGTTAGGCCATCATGTCTCCGGCAATATTCGTCATAATCAAACCCAATTTTGCTGACCCAGTAATAACAGCTCACAAGAAAACATCTCAAAAGCGCACGAGAAAAAAAAATGTTGTGAAGAATGATAGATTAAATCAAAACCTCTAGGTCAATGGTCTATAGTAATAGGTAACTTAAGCTTAATTTAAAATCGGGACCACTCCTATTTATAAAATCTATCGGAAAGATCTGCAAGGTCCAAATTTTTCACACCTCACCAAACCTTCAATTTGTAGACTCACAGTCAAAATTTAACTAACTCAATGCTATTCCTTTTATTCGTTTTACCAGCCTCTTTTCAGTTATGAATTAAAACATACTTCCTGCTGAGAGCGCCTATAAAACACGAGTGAGAGAAAGGCAAATCGGAGGACACGTATGATGTGGTGGGGAACACGTTGGCTCCCGGATAGGGTAATAACGAGATTCGATCCCCGCCGCAGACACCTCTGGTCAGGAGTTTTGCTAATCTTTTAGCATCATTGTAGTTGCAAAACGTACTTCCACTGTGTCATGCTTGGAGGTAAATGGAAAGCCACATCTTGTCATGAAACAACTGATACATTGCACAGTTTACAAACCAATGTGAGTTATTACGCCATAAAGTGCAGATCGTCCACCAGAACTACCACCACAACCCAGCGTCGTTGTTTCTTTATGGCCTAACAAGGCTGAGCACAAGAGAACGACCAGCTGTGAGTGATGGGAATTCCGCACGCTTGTTACGGTCTCAAAAATCGACTCAAGCAAGCCAAGAATGTCGCACTCACGCTAATCCCATGTTAGGCCAAATGGTCTATTCCCACATAACCCGAGAGGATTGCGCAATAGATGCATATCTCATCCTCTACATATGCTCAGACATCGTAAAGCGAAATGTGTCCAAATATCGTAATTATTCCCCTCAAATTAATATCATAGCCGTGTCCACGACTCGATTTTCAATAGCAAAGAAGAATAAAGAGGAGATTAACGGAAGAAGGAAAAAACCTCAATCCACAGATGATGCAATCCTCTCGTGTCTCGAAGAAGACCAACTGGCAGTGAAACATTGTCTCCGCAGATGATTTGAAGAGATCGTATGGATGAGGAGTTTGAAAAGTGGAAGTCAGGAGTCAACGAGGACCATCGACAGATGTAGGAAAATGACGATTCAACTAGGGGGTCACGGAGACAATCACAGCTGAAAATGGAGTATGCTCATGACCACATAAAATTCTCTTCATGGAAAGAATAAAGGCCCTATACATTTCTGAATACGTTTTTAATATTCATAACCTTAGTTACTCACTTATTAATAACTCCTACTCCAAATTAGCTACTCCTACTCCTAGTAGGGCTAGTCCTAGTAGGATTGTACTAAGAGAAAGAAGAGAACTTACCCATCTGGACAGTCTTGGAATGCTTCGGTTAGTAGTACCACGCCTAGAAATGCAGTTGCTATCAACATAGTGTTAGAGTACTGATTGCATTGGTTCGATAAATCTACAACAAATACAATTTTAAAAGAACTTGTAGATAGTTTTTCAATGTAAAAATAATTGACGACATCCGGAAAGAGTAACGGTAAGATCAAAATTTGGAATTGTTGTGCTACAAAACGAAGATAAGAGGCATTCCTGCCACTGGCGACTCATAGAGATCCTGAGAGAGGATACTCGATAACCACAATAATAGACACTTAGGAGTTAGGAAAAGGATGAAAGGTAATGGGTCAAGTGAGGCGTTTGAAGAACCGACCCAATGGTTGAGCACAAATGACGTCCTACTCCAAAACTACAAGCGATACATCACAGACTGCACTAACCACTTTCTCTAAGGTCTGGATAACACGTCCTAACTCAAAACTGGGACAAAATTTCACCCTATGGAATACATAATGGCATTTTTCATGTTCGCTGAGCACATTTAGAGAATGGAAACAAGTCACATACCGATAAATTCCCAACAGAAATTGGCAACCGACTATGACAATCCACTATAACCCATAAAATACTTAGCCCTCGAGGGCTAATTTTTGAAAATCAAAGCCTTTAAAAATGTTTTTCTGACCAAAAAGCAACATAACGCTTGTGTATTCGTTGTATTCATCGACTTCTGGACACCTTTCACAGAGAACCAACATTTCAGGCCAGTAAACGAACTCGGTGGCAGCGAAGACGAACGACCAATGGCTAGGCTTAGATGAGCAGTAAGAGTTCTGATATTTGATACACAGACAAACATAACTGTTTTTGTCAAGAACACTTGTATTAGGCCCAATTGGCTCTAACTGTACAAACAAATCGTCAGCACTTCTGCCGACATCCTGGCATCGACGACAGAAGATGTCACTTCAATGTCAGAAATACTAGAGATATCGAGCTCAACACTGGCGAATTGAATTCATTAATATCATGCAAAGTGAATTTAATGAGGAATTGTAATTCAGAACAACCGGTGCACGTAAACCCACAGTGATGTGGAAGGTCACGTGCCCTGCGCATGGTCGCTGGTTCAAACACGCCCCAAGCCAATCAAGCCTGTCAAAACTCCGGCATCGGGGCACTCGGTATATCAGAAAAGCTCCATCGGATCCATAAAGGATTGAGACTATCCGTGTCAAGACATTATATCGCAGTTGAACTTAGATTCCAAGGGAAATCCATTCGAGCAGTATTCGAGGGCATCACGAAGAAGACGTCCTCACATGACAACCGAATCGGCATGAAAATCCAAACATTTTCGTGGATGACTGATGTGAGGCAATAAACCGAGGTAAAAGCGCTTGGATCCACAATAGGTAGAGATGGATAACATGGGATAAAATAAAAGAATGTAAAGAGCTTGCGTAAGCCTTTGAGGCAGAATATTGATTACTGGCATTACTGGCACAGACATTTCACAAAATAACTGAACCAAATGAAAATAAAAAGACGTTCTTCAAAAATAATCCGACATTTTAACAAGTCCAGAATTAGGGATAAATTTAAGGCCAAATGAAAGACGTAGAAAGACGATGAAAGGACAAAAAACGAAAATCTGTCCCACCCGATCTCACAGGAGGGCAGTGTATAGTTCTAGGCCATCGAATGAGGAATAAGTGTGAAGTGCTCGACATATGTATTATACGAGTAAGCGTATCTACATACAGAAGCACTCCTATATGCAGTCCGAAGAGCGGATTTCCCCGGATCAGCGGACAATGACCTCGCCGGAGTTAATCCAGAGCATTGAAAAGATGGCAACTAAAGTGATGAAGAGACAAGAGGATAAATTTCTCCTCTAATAGAGAAGCAACATGTCTAATAAAATAATTACGGAACTCGGATAGCAATGGATCATTGAGATGACATCTGTGCGACAGTCGGGATCAGTTGGGTAACGGTGCAATTACAGGCCAGAATAGGGTTCGCACCTCCATCGGGTCTGGTCGGAGGTGGGACGAGGGGCGGAACCAACAAACGAGCCCTGGGGACCCGAGTCTTTGGGTCAGGACATGTCCTCGAATTGGCCTAAATTGTGTGAATTTGCTACTGCAGAGCAGTAAATGGTCAACACTTCCGAAAATCTCTGAGCCCGATAAATTGCAGGTGTTAGCATTACTTTTTCGTTTCTTATGTAAAGTTTGATTTAAATGACATCTATTACCATTTTTATAACAGCGAGTACAAAAAGGCTACCAGATTTATCCCTATGAATTACAACGATGTATTACAAAGTACAAATTCAGTAGATTAACGGTCTGTAGTCCTGAATACAGAGCGTCTCCGATTGCTTCACATTATTGCTGAACCAGTGCATGAATATGAAGGAGTGACCGAACTGATGATCGGGACGACACATAGTAATTTTGTGAAGTGTCTGAAAGCCGACAGTCATCTCAACGTCAGTTGAGAGCTATCGGATGCATAAAGTTGATGACGAAAGCACAAAAGTCGTGTGATCAGACGAAAACGGGCTTTATTCAGATAAAGAGAATCAGGCTAGTTATATACATATATTTATTTATATATACTTATTTTATTTTACATATTTATATATAAATTTATTTATATAAGTTCACCTTATCAATAGAACCCAATTATTGATATCCCAAGCTCCTGCTTAAATGTCTGACTAAGCTGGTGGTAATTGAACGTCAGAGTTCGTAAGTAGCTACTCTCACCGACGAGGGCGGCGTAATTGCAATAGGTCATCAACAGCTGTAAAACTAGGAAAAGAAAGATATGATAAGAGGTTAGGAGGGCCAACGAGAACAGATAGACTCAACTACAGAGGAAATGTCTGATGGTGTCCCCAGAGATCAAAACGACTCCTTTTTGAGGAGACAAGTTGAGCATTCAATCGCCAGTTGTCCACGAATTCAGTTCGGTTTCCAGGAAATGAACGTACTCAGAAGACACGCCAGCTGTAAAGCTATTCAGTCAGCATCTCTGCTTCTGAATTGAAGATAAAATGGAAGAGACTTCATCAATATTCGTTAAAACTACGTTTAATTCAAGAAGATGGAATAATTTTCATATACGATTAATAATGTAATCTGACTGCTTCTGCGATGCTGAAATGTTTGCAAAACTCCGGACCGCAGGTATCGGCGGTGGGGAGCGAACGCGCTGTCACCTTTCCGGGGGCTGACTACTTCTGTTTTTTGCTCCCTAGAAGGTCTTCATGGTAACAAAATCATGAATGAATAACAAATTAATGAACGAATCACACAAATGAGAGATGAAAATTTACTAACTTGAAATGCTAATAAATAAAAATATTTCTAAACGAATCAGGAAGAAAGTTGAATAAGGAAAAATACAGAATGACAATAATCGAAATTCTATCACTCTTTACTAAACTGCTACTAACAACGATATGTGTAGTGCTCGAAAATCAGGGAAACTATAAGGAGCAATTCATCACTGAACGAAAAATTACCTGGGAAGGAAGAAGGAAGACGACAATCACTCAGAAGTAGAAATGGAATGAGTGATGGAGAAAAAAGGAAACCCGAATGACGGAAGTAGCATGAGTGATGAGTACGACGTGGTCCCGGAGATAACCCCGTCGTTCTCAGGAAGGCACAAGGAACGTTGCAGTGCATCATACTAGTCAGACAGTGAGACAAATTACACGGAAAAGCACAACCCTGCGAAAGCCTTGTTCTTCCAAGTACTGAATGATAAAGATGTCTAAGATTACACAGAGAACCATTTTTTCCATATTCCTTACACTAACCGAGATTGAAGGACATTTCTTCTCCTCTGGAGTGAGCCACAAAAGCTTGCTGCACATAGCTCCATTCGATAATAAACAAGTTTGAAACCACAACTTTTGAAGGTTCTAGCGGTTTTTCGACTCGTTTTCGTCTGTTCATGGTGGATCTATTGGATATCCATCACAACCCTATAAAGTCACGGTTTCTTCAAGAAAGAGCAAGATTGAATGAAAAGTTGATGAGTAAACCGAAGCAGTTCAATTCGTTCTCATGTTCTTTAAGGCATGTGCTGTTGCTGGGATAGAGTGTTATTGGAGGATTCGAAGCCACTTCACTTTACGTCATGTGTCATCATCTGACATAACTTAGTGATGAGTCTCCAGAGACCCACGATTTCTACTAGTGATATGCCAACTGCTGCACCAGTTGATGCAGTAGGACTGTGTGGATGAACAGCACCGCGAATGTCCTTCCAGATTACAGAAAAGTCAGTGGCATGGGGTCATGCATCAGTTATCATCATGCCGCTAAGCACTAGGCTTAGAAGTAGAAACAATTATCACAAGTGGAGATATGCTTCAAATCGGGAAAAGACTTCACACAAAACGAAGTCGTGACTTTCGTTTAGCATTGGTGCGTCGAGAGACTCAGTTTGTTAATGACTTCGATATCAGTTAACTAAAATTGAATGAACTGAGAATTGTGGCAAACCAGTCAAGATTAGATGAGGTAGCTTGTTGCCTCGAAAGAGCTTTACTGCAACTGCAAGCAGAAAATCAGCGCTCAAGAAAAAATACCTTGTCGGCGCATTTTTCATCGTTACACAAGTGCCCCTCTATACTTACCGCGTTTAATGGTCGAGAAAGTGCTCCTGATTTCGTAAACAGTGGACGTTCATTCTCCGCCATATAATATACGATGAGTCACATTTTGCAAAGAACTAGAGTAAGAACCGTTTAAGAACAAATTTTAACCAGTTGTCATGTGCCGAGATCCATATCACACGCGTAAGTAGGCCACCCACGTAAATAACGACTTTGGTCGTTTAATAAAGCCATAAAAACAAATTTCAAAACATTGAAGATGTTCTTAGTGTTATATATGTGCTGATCAACACTAGAATTCAAATCGTGTAATAATAGCCACGAGGTATCAACTTTGAACGTAAAATGACATGCTAGCGAAGACTTCGGTTTAGGGACGCCTCTCCCAAATGGGAACAGAAAAATTCTATGACAGGCGTGGACTTGGGGCTGAATACCGAAATCAACAAGGCCGTCAGCCTTTGCACAGTGCAAGTTTGGTGAACGGATTATGTTGGGAACAAAGGCGCTAAAGAGCGGCGCCGGACTGGACATGGGAAACAGCCAGAAGGTGTTTGTCAATCGCTTCCTGATCCCCTTGGAAATCGAATTTCATGACTATTACAGACGGAATCATTCCACCAGCCGAACACAACTGCTAACTGTACCATAAATTTTTAAAGCTCTTCTTGATTTACTTCTATCGTGTGAAATAAAAAAGCAGATGATCCAAGATCCAAAATAAGTTAGACATAATAAAAGGGATTTTAAAGAGTAACTTCAAGGTTGTTTAAAGTGGACTTGCATTATTCTAGAATAAAATGCCTTTCAAGGTAATTTTTTCTTATTTTTTTAAACTCATTATCAGATCTGCCGTTCGGATCTCAGCATTCCTCGCACTCGATTCATTTTCCTCACCCATGTCTCCGAACACTTTGTGTGTTGTTTCCGCTGCTGCTTCAAGATTTCGCCATTCTATGAACGTCATAGAATTATGGTCAAGTCAATTCTCCTTTCAATCCTCGAGATAACCGAGCTAAAGGGTTCCCACGCGGATTAGAGAACAACGCCTGGAAAGGGTTAAACCTGCATCTTGGTTCCTGATAGACTGCGTCATTAGTCACTGCGCTATTCCCTCCCTAATTCTCATTGAATGGGAATAATAATAACAATAATGATATCAAATAAATAACCCTAATAATCGGTAGTTAGTAACAACAAATGATAGTAATAGATGGGGATGTGGGTAGCGCGGTGGTAGTGATACCATTCAATACTCTGAAAGCCCTGGTTGTACTCGGCATAGGTAAACCAAACCAGAGTTGGACAATTGATACCGGAATAGTATGGATGTATGGAAAGCTTGTGTGGTCAAAATTAAGGAACTTCATGGTATAGTTATCTGAGAACCAGCTTTCGAATATTGAGTGATAATGAATAATACAAACACTCCGCCAACGTTGAAGGAGATTCATAAAGAAGACCAAATGTTCTCAAATAGTACCAAAAACCACACCCGCATTCGAAAAACTCCATAGATGGGAGAAAACGAAAAGAATGGAAGAGGTGCTGGGACCCGCTCAGTATGAGCGACTGTCAGGTAATGCAAAAGAAATAATCGGCAATAATAACAATAAACAATGATAGTAACAGCACAACAGTAGTTATGCCTGACAAGAATATTGATAAAACACTTCACCGGTGATGAAAGTGATGCTCTTGCGAGTACCATTTACCTAGAAAGATTGCAACCATTAATATTTCGAAAAATAAGTTGTTACAAATGTAGCTTTCTCGACGTCCGAGTTTCAGTCCTTAGAAGTTCACTGCGGGTAGAGGAAGACTAATACGGAGAATATAGGAATCACGTTACGGGATTGTCGGCATTGAGCACATTTGGGCTCAAACGTAGCTCTGCCTTTTGATGACATTCATTCAATACTATACTAGTTGCTCGGAGCACTTAGTAGTAGCAGAAGATAATAACCACTTAACTGAGGTAATTGCCCAGCTCATCATTGCCATCGATGAACAGACGCAATTCTCTATAAAGAACAGCGGGACTGTTTTTGACTGACGAACATGGCAATCGTTGACGAAAATTACGCTAGTTTCGCACCCCGATTCCCGGTTCACGGCGATTTTGAGAGAGAGCCATAGAACACATGCTGAAGAAGTAAGTTATTCAGATTTCAAAATATCTCAGAAATAGGTCTCACTAAGGATGAATGTGGTCTCATTAGTTAGCTGGTTAAATGAACGATACGTAATCTACTACAATGTTGTTGTTATCCTCTTCAAATTAAATGAGAAGCTTGGTAAAAGAAGTTGTTACTGGTACAATGAGTTAAAAAAGTTCCCGGCGTTGATCAATCCCTGAGGGATGCGCCATCCACTCTTCATTAAGCATTGCTGGAGGCGACTGAATGAATATGTGGCCTTTAGAATGACTTGTGGTGGCTTACCGATGTACCGAGCCAGTGGTGCTATACTCCCAGAAATGTCCGGCACCAATTTGCCAACCCTGGAGGGATGGAAGGTGTGTGTGTGTGTGTATATATATATGGTGTGTGTGTGTATGTGGTGTGTGTGTGTGTGTGTGTGTGTGTGTGTGTGTATTGCAAAGCGCCTCCGACCATTGCGCCAGACGCGCCCACAATGAGTTATGAGAACATAATTCTTTGCTAGTGTCATTAATCTCTTTAAATCACCTAACTCAATGAGTTGTCATTTATTTCTCATTCCGTTGCATTCATACATTTCCCATTTAATCTCTTCAAACCGATTTTTTTTCTTAGTAACATTGGTTTTTTTTGGGAATTTTGGAACTTCCCTGTTAACCATTTCTTTCATAACTGGTATTTTGTAAGGGTAAAACCTCTACAAAAAGATTTAGTGCTAAAGAATACCCATTCTTCGTCTATATGAGTCAATAATCAACAGGATGAATACTAATGGGTTCACTAAGGTGACAAGTGGTCGCACTATCGCCATAGGGTGGTCCTACGGTAAAATCAGAAACTATAGATCCAATATGTTGTGAATTATCCTATTATGGGAAAAGTGTGAATCCCTAAATAGTATTGAGCAAGTGCCAACTATGATAGAAATGCGGCGACTGAAAAGATGATATGGTAGAGACTCGTATAGAATTCATAAATATTCTACTGGAAAGTGGTGAAAATCTTCCCAGTGGATGACAATTTAGTTATTTAGAGAGAGAGAGAGAGAGAGAGAGAAAGACCGAGAGGAAAGGAAAAAAATGAAAAAAGAGGTGGCCATCTTCCATTCAGAAAAGAGAGAGAAGACGCGCTGATAGAGTCGAAACGGAAATTACGTTGCTAAGCCGTTCCGAATTGGAAAAATAAAGTCGTAGAAGCGCGACTGAAATTTGAAGCAAACCAGCTCTTGAGGTTGAGCGGAGGTTGTGGCTGGAGAAAGCCACTCTGAGCAATTAGTCTTGTGGGTGGTAATGGCTGTGGAGAAGAATGCGTCTTCGAGACTGAGCACCGCAGATGCCGTGACGTCGTTGCGCAACTCCTCACCAGCACATGACAGTGCTGAGCCCTCTGTGCCATCTGAGCGAGGAGCAGAAGCAAGGTGCTGGCCAACATGCCAAGCAATGAAACGCGTCTTCACCTTAGATGAACGAACCGTTGCTAGGTGGACAGTTTTGAGGGATACTGTAATGAAAAGGACAGAAACCACAGAAAATTCTTTAATTTTCGACATCTAATGAAAGACCGTTCCTAGCTCATATGGGTCGTGAGTTCCTCATATCGATTTCGTTCATTTGAAGACTGTTAGAATTTACCATTTTCTTCATGACAGGCTTTTTCATTCCACGAAAGGACGGTGAGTCATCAAAATGGTTAAACAATTTACATCTTCAAATATTAAGTGAAAACAGATGGAGTCCAAACAAAAAAGCCGATGTTTAAAAAATCGAACAGCTTCTTTATAACTGGTTCCATGTTATTTCAGATAACCGCAATCATGAGATATGTCCCAGAAGAATTCATTAAAAGGCCTTTCCTGAAGTGCTAGTTGTTCTATAGCTTGGCCTCAGGCGTTTTCGACTTCTTCCGAGCTCATATGAGAGATTAGACGACATTTCTGCAGGGTGAGGAACGGCATCCGAAGGCGGTGACGGCTGCGGAACAGACGTGAACGGCCGACGACAAGAATAATTGGCGAGAAGGCGTCATAGTAAGAGAGCCGTCGGAACGGCGGAATGCTCGCCAGTTTACCCGGCCGACTACGGATGGAATAAACACTTCCACAGCCATTGTTTTCTTCCGTTTGTGTGATGGACTAAACAATGTGCTGCCCTGAACAAAATTCATTTTAGGAAAAAAGTCATTATTCTGCCGAAAAATGATGGGAAACGTTAGCTTGTAGAAGGCCGGCGTTCTTTATTCGCAGAGCTGGACGAAAAGAAGCTCTGACCTCAGAAAAATTGATCACATACGATCGAAGAAGTGAGTGCATCGAGCTCTTTCTCTCTTGAAAATCAACAACTCTTCACTTATTACATTTGTGCCCACTATGACATAGAGACATAAAAGTTGCACTTCTGATTTATGAGAGCTCTTTGAATTAATAATTTCACGTATTATGTTCTCTCGTTATGCAACGAGTGCACCGGCTTTCCATTTAAACTGCAAGACACCGGTAACAGATTCGAAGCCTCAGGATAATTCCAGTTTCCGATGAGTACCATCATAGAATGATTGAATATTGTAGTTAACTAGGCGAGATGCATTTAATCGGTACAAAGCATAACATTCAATGAATGGGCAAACGGAGCCGCCATAATAATAGTGTTAGTACACAAATCACAGCAGAATGACATTCGGATTCGTCTATAATGGCAATTCATGAGTGAGTCATGACAGCGTAGCACCAGCCGATCACCTACAGTACTGGTTCACCGAAAGGCGGCATGGCAGTACTGGACGGGAGTAGAGCCAATTGTGGGGAAAAGAGCGTGGACGGCGCTGAGGGCTGACGAAAGAGTCGAACCGGTTCCTTCGACGTCCTCGTCGCGACGTCTGTCAAGCGCTGCAAAGTCGAAATATCGCCCATGTAGGGCACGAGCACGATTCTGTTCAGTGAACAAACCCGTCGACGTTCCGACAGCCCAAACGACTGTAGTTGAGATTTGCTCGACCGTATTTCTGTACCAACTAAATGCGGAAGTGTCGTGGAACAAAGCAATGGAAAGGCTCCCCTATCTCTAGCTTCAACCACCTAGCTTCAAAAGTAGTAACATTTTTAGTCTAAAGTGAAGAGGATAGTTGACGAGTATGATGAACTAGGAAGCCAGAGTATTACGATCAGAAAGAATCTTCGTTTCCACAGGTTACTCCGGTAATGCATTAATCAGAATTTGTTACAAGGGCATCAGCTTTCGTACTTTGCAGTGCTGCAGTCAAGGTGACAAATGATTCAAGATAATCCTATCCTACATTTGGCCCTAAGACGAGGAAATACTCATGCCATTCCTCTTACAACTTTTGCAAAATGAAATGAAAAGATCCCCTACATTGTAACTGATCTTTGAAATTGAAGAACATCGATGAACAAAGTGGGACATCCTTGATAAGTGATGTGCTCATCGCCCATTCCATTTCTTCAGCTCAACTACGGCGACTTGGGTAGCCAAAAAATGCTTCCGATCTTAAGAAACCTTTGCTCTACACCTATAAAGGTGCCTGCCGAGCAGCAGCTGACGGCGAAATGTAAGTCTGGTGATCCGGCCATCCTTTCCTCTCCCATTAGATTCCCTAATTCTCTGGGTGAATTTCTCCGAATTTTTCGCAATCAATAAGAAAGCATAAACGACTCGTCAGACATAAGATACCAAGTACCTATCGCAAAATAAAACTTCGTATAAAAGCCATGCTGGATTGGATTTTGCTTGCGATGAAACGATAAATATGATGGCGAAAAAAAACGCTGAAACATAAAATGAATATCTCTTGGAGAATTAGTGGCACCAGTTCCTTAAAAAAAACACCTATCTCTTCTCAGTACTGAAACAAATGTCCCAAGCTGGTTGGATTAGGGCCAGTAATTCGAGAAGCGTTTCGTTTCGAGGCTTTACAATAGCCTGCTTAAGCTGGTTTGTGGATCGTAAATTCCAGCGCCGAAGTGGGTGCTTCGCAAGATAAGTCGTTTATTAAGAGCCCTTCAACGCTGACGTTTAAGTGGAAAATTGCAGACATTAATTAGTAGTGTGGTAATCATTTAGCACGCCGCTATTTATCCCATTGTCAGTTCTCACATCGTCCATTTTGAGAGTACTCTGTAACTCTATGGATGTATCGGGAACAGGTAATAGTCGGCACTGATATAACACATTTCATTCCAGGGCATTACGCAGCGCTTTTACTTCTTATAGTAGAAAGAGTCAGAAGTCCTAAGTTGAGGGAAAAAACATGTTGATCAATATGAACAAAGACTTCCTCGACATTAAGGAAAGAGCTAAGATTTTTTTTTCGTGCCACTCGACAACAAGAACCGACAAGGAACAGGCACGTCTGCACCGACAGCACAACTAAACACTAGCAACAACCTTGAAGCGCTCCCATTGGCGTCGCCGAAACGAATGGCATCTATTAAATGAATTATATAATGGGACTATCTAACTACAGCCATTAATCAATCATAGTGAATTGGACAAACGCTGAGAATCGACGAGCACGGATTTCATCAGACTAAATAAGTCATTATTGTAGTTCACTGAGGCTTAGAATTCCTATCATAGTTGGATCAAGTGCACTCATTTCTTCATGTAGCACGAAATTACGGCTTTACTTATTAGTGAGTTGTATATCACTTCCAATTATGAGCTTGTGGGTTCGTGGCCAAATCACTAAGGCGTCCAGTTTATGAATAACGGTAGCATCTATCACCGTCGGGTTATCCAGAACACTTCAATAATCTAGGAATCTTATCAAAAATCTCAAAACCAAGAACAACGAGTTGTCTTACAGCAACAATACTATCACTTTAACAGAAAGGAAAGTGAACATCGGGATCTTTGAATGCCCGACTAACCATAAGGAGGTGGATTGACCGGAGGAGTTTGTATGGATGGGGATTACGATGCTGACGATGCTGTAACACTAGCAGGACGATGACTCACTTAGTCAGACAGCTGCCATCCGTAAGAACCGAAAATAAGAGAACGAATAGCCCGGTCGGCTCGTTGAGAAGCACTTCGGCGTTCGAGATAAAACGTCGCTTTATGACCAACGGCAGAGCTACCGAATTAAGTTTTCGACATGAAGACGAGATGATGGTAAAGAATAAAGGGCGACAATCTAGAGAAGAGGAGACTACTTTTTGAAGCCTAGAAGAAAGTTCACCTACAACTGTGGAAACAAGTTTAAAAAGTTCTCCAAATTCCTTAAGCATCGAAAGGGGACATACAAGCGGGACTGTTCAGTAGTACTGTATAGAACATACCTTAAGTACAAATAAGCGAATTAAGAAGAGATAAGTCCACAAAATGACATCATAATGCTTAGATAAGTCCGCAAAGCAACGATTCTCACATATGCGCACGTGCGGCCCAGACCTCCGGTGCCAGCTGGAAACAAAGGCTTATTTTATGAGTTCCGCGATCCGTTTGCACGTGGAGATGAAGTGAAATGAGATGGCTAAAGGACATTACAAAATAATCCCGAATACTTTCGTAAAGTTAAGAATGTAGGAGAAATAAGTTCGGTGGGGAAAGTAGTAGCAAAGACTTGGATCTGATTCAATGATAAGTAGCAGAACAATATGGAAATCCTCCTGTCTATTCCACATACACTTCAAAAATCAGATAGCGATGTTTCATTTTGGAAAGTCACACTTTCCTTCTTTACTATTACACTATAAATCGGAAATACTCCAAAAGGTTCGGCGACTCACAACCTTGAAGAAGTGCTTACGATTAATCATACACTTGTATTACTCATACTCTTGTTAGTCTTCACGAGTGATTCAAGTTATCCCCAATAGAGTCTAAATTTGTCCTAGCCTTACTTATGTCCTTAGCTCTTTTCTCCTCTTCTGAGAAGCATTTTGGTCCTTTTTCGAGGCCTCCTGTTTTGCTTTTGGCAAAAACTGCTTCGACGTTAAGTAAGGGAGATCCAGTCGACACCGCTCTTCAACACTGTTCCGGCGTGAAAAAGAAAAAAAAACATTGAAAGTGATCAAGCAACGACTAATGTCATTCCTAGATTTATGAAGCTCTCAGTACGTGTATTTGCAAGAACAATGGAATCAGCAGACACCCTAGCAAACTTGACAAGATTAGCGCTTCAAACACCACGCTTTCTCGAGGATAATATCGAGACATGAAAGGGATTTGTACCCTTGGGCTAAAAACGCACGCAGTCCTCATAACGGACTAAGAGGTACGTCGTCCACCGAGAATGGTGTATAAATGCCAGCCGGGGAGTAACTCCAACAAGTAGGAATCAGTAAGTCAACTGGACAAGATCCTCGCTTCAACAATGGTGTTCAGTCTGCGAAATGTGGTGTCTGAATGCAGTAATCCATTAAATATAGATGAAGTCGATAACGAGAACCAGATGATATTGTGAATGAGAGCGAACGAGACATTCGCAGAGTGGACTTCGTATTTCTGCAGTTAGTAGAAGATAGGGTATGAAGATATGAGAATGAAAACATGAAGTGAAAACGAAAAAAGGAATTCTTAGAAGAAGGTGGCAGCTTCAAATTCTTCACTGTTGGAGTTTACAGAAAACAGACCGACGTGTATGCACCAACCTCGAACGCTCAAAAACCTCCCTTCGCGTGTTTCTTCTTTTTCTCTTCGTGAAGAGTTTCGAAACAGCAACAGAAAATATATCAGAGCTTTAGAACTAAGTGTGCTGAACAGTACTGGCCGCCAGCTAGACTGGGCATTGGACGGCGAGCAGGAGGACAACAATCCAGACAGCCGATCCGATCGATGGCCTGGCTATGGCGGTTTTCGGCCAGTCCGGTGATATCTCTCTTTAGGCCGTCATCACGCTGGCAGGTGTGATATTCGACGCAATCACTCAAATCGATGACAGCCAATCGATACGCCGATTATCGATTGGGAATCTGGTCTTCGGAGAAGAAAATTGGCATTTGAACGATTAAATGCAGTCATTTGAAAATCTGTACTGTTCGGTGAAAGATGAAGCTATCAGAATGAGTGACAGGAAATTCACGTCACAGCGTAGTGGAACGGCAAAAATATTACAAAACTCCGGAACGCAAGTGTCTGAGGTGTGGATCGAAACGCGCTGTTACCCTTTTCTGGGGCAAATTGTTCACCACCACACAATGATTTCGCCTTTCTCTCAGCCTTGTTTTATAAGCGCTATCAGCAATCATCCGTAAACGGGACTCATCTGGGGAGCAAAAATCGGCATTGAGTCCAGTTAAGGTGGGTCTGTAATATAAATCACAATGTAACCACTTTTTATTCATTGTCTATTCTTTTTTCATGGTATGATATGAAGTAAAATACAACTACGGTCCGTATGCTACAAATATTTATGTATCTGTGGTGGTGAACACGTTAGCCCTTGCAAAGGGTAATAACGGGTTCGATCCCCACCCCAGACACCTGCAGTCCGGAGTTTTGCAAATATCTCAGCATCGTCGTAGTTGTATTTCACATCATTCCTGCCATGAAAAAAGATTAGGCAGTAGATAAAGTGATCAAGCTCTCTAAAGCTCTCGGTGTTGATCAATCCCTAAAGGATGTACCATGCATTCGACTTCAATAAGCATCGTTGGAGGTGATTGAATGCATATCTGACCTTTACAGTGGCTCGCGGAGGCCTACCGATGTATCAAGCCAGCGCTGTTATCCTCCCAGACAGGTCTGGTACCAAATGTGCCAAGTCCGGAGGGATGGAGGGCTTGGTAGGCCATACGCGCGGGGATCGATTCCACGTGTGTATTGCAGAGCGCCTCCGACCACTGCGCCACGCGCGCCCACAAAAAGTGATTACATTGATAAAAATATTGTTCGAAAAACTGAAGCAACTTATTGAGGACCTACAGCTGGTCTATCTGAAATTGGAAAATATGCGTTCCTTCTCAACAGTTTCGAATAGTTACACCATTTTGAATGTGGAGAATATTTTCACAACAGACATTTCTCATTGCTCCTCGTTTTCAAAAGTGGGCGATTTCTCACGAATCGACGACAATCACACCTTTTATTCCTCGCCTTATCGTTGCAGCAATCTGTTTCCACTCTGGCTTCTCCTCAAAGTCATCAGTCAGCGAAGTTTTTCACGTATTCATGAACTGTTTCTTTTTAATTAGTGTTTCAGCGAGTCTAATGAAAGAACATTGAATTGAGCAATGTTTACCTTTTATTTGCTGTCTACTACAATTTTTACGGCAGGCTATTATGCGAAATAAAACCACGACAATGCTGGAATATTTGCAAAACTCTGGACCGTTGGTGTTTGCGGTGGGGAACGAACGCTCTACTACCCTTTTCGGGGCCTAACGCCTTCACCACCACACCATGCGAGTCCTTCGTTTCAGTGAAATGAGCATTTTATTACTTTCACCGCTACTGTGAAGGTGACTTACTTCCAATCCAGACAAGACTAATAACAGGCTTTTTCGCATTCTGGTAACATCTATGTATTTACTTAGGCTACGCCATGTGAATCTTGACCACGGTATTTCCGACTTAATTAATGGGCAACTTAATGAATAAATCTATGCGATTCTCGCGAGGTAACGAGTACGGAACAATGAAAAGCACTACTTCCATGCCTAGTGTTGACTTTGTTAATTCTATATATGAAATATCGCGAAATTCAAAGGACAGACGATGAGCATTCGGAATCTGTTCTTGTTCTGCGGGACAGACGCCGTTGCAGCAGAGAGGAAGAATTATGCACACATGCATTGATTCGTATTCTGCTTACAATCGAGAACACTTTCAGAAGTTTCGAAGAAAACACGCGAAATGTTGGCGAAGCACAAGAGCTGTCTAAGAACACTAATACCTTGGTCGTTTCGAAGAAATGCAAGCGCAGTTAGTGAAGGAAATCCAATGTAAACGTCATCCAAAATGCCGCCACATCGCATTTTTCCTTTCCTACTCCTCTTGACAGTCCGCATCTGTCATTAGGAAGGACGCTCAATTGGTCATTTCACTTTTTCGCCGCGATCATTCACTTTCCGCTTTCGAACCACCATCGCCGGACCTACGCCTGACACTGGCGGCTTCAGTCCGTTGAGGATGGCCAATCTCTACCCGATCCCCTGCTCTCCGCCATCAACTGGGACCATGTTCTGAACGTTCTACGCTACTCGGATAGTTAATATTCCTGGCCAACACTTCTTTTAGGACAATTTTATCCGTTCTTTTTTTGATAATAGGCCCGAATTTCTCCAATTTTTCATCTGGCGCAATGTGTGCACAGATAAGAATTCAGTTTTTTTGCGATGGAAAATTCAGTCTCGAAAAAAAATTCTAGCCAAAACTAAAAAAAAGTCATTTAACAAAAAAGCCTTGAGATTTATAATGGAGTTTTTCCTTCATAATGCCATGAACCTAAAAACCATTCCAACCACCTGAAGGTTGTTTTGTGCTTTCTAACATTAGTTTTAGGTTTGGTTGAATATAAAAGTGCATGACGGCTTCCCAATCTTCCGAAATGTAGAATCAGCCTCCGACTGTACCATCGACTGTCGAAAATAGCCATAGTGCACGATGGATAGAGATCAGCTTGGATTGTGAAGGATGGCGGCGGATGGATAGCCGGACGCTCAAAACTGGCTTTGCTCAACTATTCGTAAGCATCATACTGAAAACCCTCTATGAATTCTTTCAAAGAAGCCTAATTTTGAAATAATCGAGATTATAACTTCGAACGACACTTATTAGCATTCCAATGGATCAATGCAATCAAAAAGGACAACAGTGTTCGCTGAGATGTCGGCAGGATTTTTGCTTAGAAAAAGGAGTGCGTCGACACAGCTGAAGTGATTTGAAGAAGCTGACTTGCATGAATAGGAAAGAGAAGGGAAAAAAGTGTCGTCGCTATGTTTCATCCTCCACCCTTATATCTCTCCAATGCATTGCCCTATACTTGAAGTATACAACTATCGATTGGAATACAATGAGCGAAGACGAAGAACAACTATTTCACGGGACGAAATCTCTAGAAAACACCCTGAAAATGAGTTTGTGAACAGAGACAACGTCTCAGAATCAGAATGTTTCTGAGAGATGTAAAAGTGAATGAATTATCTTCAAGCTTTTCCTTCCTTGACAAATAGCAGACGTGAAAACAATTTTCTATGAAAAGTGAGCAAACACCTCTCATGAAGTGAACGACCATAAACTCATAAACGGCAAAAAGTGAACATTGTTCGTTATCGAGACTGTTGACGATAACTGGATTTTATTGAAGGATGGACTACCGTAATCTACGTCCACAT